TCGAGGGTATCCGCGTTTCCGATAGCCACTGAAAAGTACAGGTTTATTCTAAATTATTGTCGGGATTTCTGGGCCCTGGAGGTATGGTGGTGAAAGCAGTTATGAAAAACCATCCAAACAGTCGTTTATGGTATACCTAACTACAAAGCAGTTCGTCTAGTTGTTTTCTGTCGGCTTCGAGAAAACGCTTCCTGGATTCGAGCAACAACCTCCTGTGAAATGCTCGGTCTTACCACTCCTCTTCGGTGCAGAACACTTCCAGTCTCTTGAAATTGCTGTAACAAATGGCGGATAGCATCATCTGAAGGTGAATCTTTTCCATATCGAGTTCCGTAACGACTCCGTTACGCATCTCCGTTTCAACTTCGTCATCCGCGAAACGTTGCCCACCAACGTGGTTTTTAGTGGACCAAACAGATGGAAGTCATTGAGGGTCAACTCCGGTGTGTAATGCGGATGTTGAAGAAGCTCCCACTGTAGTTCTTGAGTTCTCTCCTGGGTTCCTCGGGCTGTAAGGGATCTGGAATTGTGATGAAGCAGTACCCCTCTTGCCAGATGGCCTGCGGGTTTTCTGAGAACTGTAGCCCGAAGCTTCAACAGAACTTCACAATACGGTGCAGAATTCACATTTTCACCACATCTCTGAAAATGTGCTAAGAGTACTCCCTGAGAATCCCAAAACTCGGGTAAGCATAAACTTCCTAGCTGATGACGTATTCGTAACCTTAAACTTTTTGGTTGAAAGTGAAATGGAATGCTTTCATTATATTGCAAATATTGGTGGTGGTGTAACAATTCTGTTAAGTATATCTTCTCCTTCATTTGCATAACTTAAGAACTGTTGCAAGGACAGACCTATTTGGTTTATTTTTTCTCGATCTTTCAGTTCCTTCAACACCCACCGCGCGCATACTTTCCAAAACTTCAAAAGATCGAGCATTATGCTGTGTGCTAACCCATGGGAAACCCTAGTGCAGTTGCTACTATGTCTATCATCCTCCTGTCAGCTAGAGTCCACTCTTACACCCCCTGCACAGTTGCTTCTGTCGCAGTCTCAACAGGGCGAACTGGTCGGGCGTCATCTGCGATTTGCGAATGTCCTTCAGAGAATTTTTCATCCCACTTCTGAACCACTTTACATGACAAAAACTTCCCACAGTAGACATGAAGCATTCCTTTATGAATTCCCTTTGCAACGAGTACTTTTCCCACAAAATCGCAAAACAGAACATTGTTCCTCGGTAGTATACACCTCAAACTCTGTCGCCATTTTCACGACTAACTGCTACCGGGACTTTTTTATTTTCACAAAATAAATGCAAATACAAAAATTGCCTAGTCAGTGCCCATCCGGCCCTCTGTAACACATTGTTATAAACATCTCATTCTGTCATATCCTTCTACAGTTCCATTGAACAATCTGAATTGGTTGATTCCCGATGAATTTTGTGGTAATTTTGCGCGTGAAGCTCGACGGCTTTCCACTGGTGTCTTATCTTTGCTTTAGCGACCCCAGAGTATATCACTAAGCTGATCATCGTCACCAGTACGTTATTGACTTCGTCCTCCATCTGAATGGACTGATACTCTTCTAAAGATTTCTCTGACACTGACTGGTCTTCGAACCGTTCCTTTTCAGTATATTGCCCACCCAATACCGTCACGAAGCTAGACTGTGCTGCTACCTATTGATAGACATAGAAAACCCTTTACGTCCACTAGACGCTGTATTACATCCATTCTCCCTTGTACTACTACTACTACTACTACTACTACTACTACTTCTTCTTCTTCTTCTTCTTCAAATCCAGTCAATTGTGAATGGCAGGCCATTAATATTGACCCTTCACTGCGTGCTTTTTGTCAGCTTACATGGATTTTTGTTTGTTATTTTACGATTCTGCCAGTATCGGCCTATCAAACCGTCGATTTTAGGATGATTAATGAATTTTGAGCAGCTGATCGCATGAAAATTGACAGCAGAAAACGAAATATTCAGAGAAAACCCACCTGGTACCATGTGACTGTTGCGGGATTGAATAAGGTCCCGGAAGCCACTGACTAATGGCTTCAGGTATGGCACAGTAGCTTGCATGGTCGGTATTTGTAGGTGTACGTAGCAGTTGGAAGAGGAAAGCATTTTTACTTGATATTTAAAGTTGCGAAATTATACTCATTCTAATATTATGCAAGTTACCCTGGATGTGGAAGTAATACATTCCTCCGAAACGTCGTTAAGCTTCACTAGACTAGGATTACAGGATTCCGTTGCCTAGAATTGCACAATATGAACCCTCAAAATCCTGAAAACGTCAGGTATCTTACCTCTCTTCTATTTAACGTTTATATATTGATTTATTTAACGACACTTGTAAGTGAGAGTATATAACATTTTGGTTGGGAAACCTAAAGCGAAGAGAGTAGAAGGGAGTATAATATTAAAAGTGTTATTAAAGAAATCTGTTTTGTGTGTGGACTGGATTCATCTGATACAGAAGAAAATCCTGTTGAGGCGCTCTTTGAAAGAAGATAATGAATGTTTGGATTTTATGAAAGCGATACATTTTTTGACGAGCTGAATTGCTATCAGGTGCTCAGTAAAAACTCAGCTGTACGCTTATTTGACTGAGGTCAGAATGAGGATCTTCTTTTCCTGAAAAGTCCCTTTTATTTATCAACAATTATGGGAAATTTTAAACTTAAAATACACGTATTACAAATAAAAGAGCACTTGACCCACATTTGTTCTTGTTTTGTGTTTGAAGAGTCGAATTTATGGATTATTAAGTTTGCTTTTTACGGTATTATTAACATACACACACACAGGCTATCTGTCGCTGGGCACATAGCACACCTCTGTATCTGACTGAGCCATCATCATTTAATAACTAATTAAGTAACTCCACGGAGATGAGCCTTTCTTGAAAAGCCGTCAACCATGGAGCTATTCCGGAATTTCCCAGCATTTTATGGAAGCCGAAGCCTCGTTACCGTGTTCACAAGACCCCTCCACTGGTCTCTATCCTGAGCCAGATCATTCCACTTCATACCACCCCATTCTATCTCTCTAAGACACATTTTAATAATACTCTCCCACCTACGTCTTGGTCTTCCTAGTTGGTTCCTTCCTTCTGCCTTTACAACCAATATCCTATACGCATTCCTCTTCTCTCCATGCATGATACATGCCCTGTCCCTGTCAGCCTCCTTGACTTGATCATTCGAATTATATTTGACGAAGAATAGAAGTCATAAAGCTCTTCATTATGCAGTTTTCTCCAACCTCCTGTCATTTCATCTCTATTCGCTCAAAATATTCTCCTCAGCACCCTGTTCTTAAACAGCCTCAGTCTATGTTCCTCCCTTAATATAAGAAACCAAGTTTCACACCTATACAGAACCAAATGCAAAATTATATATTTTTTTTATATTTTAATTTTTATGTTTCTAGACAGCAGACGAGAACACAGAAGGTTCTGGACTGAATGGTAGCAAGCGTTACCCGGGTTCCATCTCCCCCTTTTCAATTTCCTGAGTTCATAGTTTAATAAAATCTTTTAAATTAACCGTATGATCAGAAGAGAATTTTATGGACCGACGAAGTCAACCACTTACGAACTGCACCGTCTGGATGACTCATGCACTCATCGATTGAATTGCCAAGTTCCTGACTTACTCTGACACACTGACCGACCGAATGCGTGTCCCTTCGCACGAACTGACTCGATGGATAACTGAGAAATTAACTGTAGAGTACAGTGTCATTTGTGTACTTTATAATTGCTTAGTTGAAAAAGAAATAAGTTACGCATAAAATAACAATCGCATTAACACTGACACAATTCTGACATCTTATGTAATTTAAGTAGAGCTATTTTTTATGGCTCTTCCAAACCATTCGAGGGCCCAGGCCTCTTATTCAGTTCCGTAACCATTTTTCACAGACGGTAGGACTCCTTTGGCGAGTGATCAACTCGTCGCAAGGCCTCTAAATAAACACTGGAAAACACAAACACAGAATAAAGGCATACACACACCAAACATCCATTCCTTGATTGGGATTCGCACCCACGATGGCAGCGCCCGAACGAGCGAAAACATTTCATGCTTTAGACCACGCGGCTATTGTGACCGGCAGTTAGGTAGAGTCTTAAACGTTTAATTTTAAATTAAATTAGTAAACATAATAAGCCTCTTAGCTTCGGTAATTACTCGTATATACAGTATTGCACAAAAAAAAGTTGTAAAGCAGACTACATGGCGGACTTGAGGTTAACTCGCATATGTGTATGTATAAAAAGATTTATTCGGTCCAGCAAAGTTGTTACACTGACATATGATTTCCAGTTTGATTGTTAAGTATAGAGACATTTTTACAATCGTCCTGCCAGATCTGTGAAAATGACTGACGCTACATTTCAGTTTATCAAATCGACAAAATGGCTGCCAGGCTCTTCAGATTTAAATCCGCGTTCACTCATCATCTGATCCATTTATTCTCCTTGCAAAGAAAACGTCATTTATAAAAACCATAGGAACTTTTTGAATGTTCTGTGTGCAAATGCAATGGTTGATAGTTTTGTGCATCTTTCTTCAGGGCCCTGAGGAGTGCGTGGCATCGTCTGTGTACTACAGTAGTGGATCTCAGACAGAAAGATGTCGGCAGTACTTGGAGACACGCGTTCAGCTCCTCGTCGGACACCGGCTCGGTGACACTGCTAGCGAGGCTACGATCACACTTCCAGTCCGAGGACATGGGCAACGGTGAGTTAAACAGTACAGTCTCCTTTGTTGCATTTTCAGACAGAAAAATAAATACGTGGCGATAAGGCGCTCGTCTTTATCGGTAGAGAATTCGAAGCGTTGCGTTAGTAGTTTATGACACGGTTACGATGTGGCGCTAATGTTGCTATGCACGAGATGAATGACGTAACAATCGCAAGGTCTCGGAAGCGGGAACTGCGAAGCGCGAGCGACGTGCAGCAGTCAGTTGTCTGTTTCTAGCGGTAAGCAGCGGCAGCAAGTCTGCTGTGCTGCCGTCTGTTGTAATAGCCGGAAATTGTTGTTACGTATCTAAATGGCTTTTGCAAACAACTGATTGTTTTCCGTCTATTTGGTTCATAGAATTATTTTTCGGAAGCATCTTTGTTTGTGCAGCTATTAGTATAGTACGTGGAATACGTAGCACGTGATCGTGATTCAGGTGTGCCAACTCAATCACATTAAATTTATTTGTTGTGTTTGTTCAAACGAATTACGGCTGTGAACTGCTTTATAAAAGATTGAAGCTTGTTTCACAGTACAGAAAGAAGGGAGATATTTATTGTCGTGTGTCGTTTAGAAGATAGAATAAAGAAAACTCGAGATTGGAAGTCAGCAATAACTGGGATATTTTATGGCTACTATAGAAGGTAAGAACCTTCAGCATAGATTTATACAGTGTCTTAAATATAAGGCATGATATTCGCACTGTTCCGTATTGTTACATATATTTGTCACGGTGTGTATGTTGGCGATTGTTGCTTTTTCAGAAATAACGCTGTTCATACAATTCCGATATAGTTTTATGCAAAGTATTATTCTCGCACATAATAAAGCCTCAGGCTTTATTTTTATGAGTTGAGAGAAGCAGTGAGTAAAATTAAAGCATAATTATGAGGCCGATTCTTTATCGCGGTTCGCATATTTCTTTTATGAAATTATGCAACATATTTGTGGGAAATTCCGTATTGTGTGATATATGCTGAATGTTTCCATGCCAGTTTAATCCCGGTCCCGTATCTATTCAATACCTGTTTCACTTTAGGCTGTAAGAAAGTCAAATCTAACCTCGTTGTTCGCACTTGTATACAAAAAAAAAGTTGAAGACGACAGTGCGACGTGATAAAAGTGTTTCTGACGTCGGTGTTTGACGGTGAAATTGTCTACTGTTTTGGATATTTTCCGTTATCTTGAGTTCTTTCAAATACATCGTTTCGGAAACTGAGTCTGAAATGGTTATTCTCAGTCACTGATTAAGAGACTGTTTCTGTAGGGCCAGACGTGGTAGGGGTCTGTTCTTCCTCACATCTGATGAAGGAAACAGACGTAATTTTCAGTGGACAGGTTAGTATGAGGCTTCTGACATGTATTCAGAAGATCCTCGTTACGAATCTCAGCCTGGACAATGACTGTCCTTACTGAGACTTTCATGCTTTTCCTCAGTTCCTTCATACAAAAGCCGGGGACAGCACATGGATTAGGTCGCGACCAATTCATTACAAATATTTTTACAATTCATAATTCACCAGTTCTGTCATTCAACCTTATATAACTTCAAAATATGAAAAGAAGAAAAATCCTTGTAAGATTTTAGGTTCTCACATCGTCTGTTATGACATCTGGGACATATCGCCATGTAGTTAACCGACGTTTCGGAGCTACATGTATCAATCTTCAGGTTCAGTAAGCCAAGCAAAAGAGCCCATGAAGCAGGAAGCAAGCATGAGGTGACATATTCATCCGAAACGTCGGCGGGATTTCGGCGGACTATAAGGCGTTATATTCCAGAAGGTAGGATGCAGTTTACAAAACCTTCTATTTGAAAAAGAGTGATGCCCATTAGCCATTATCCGAATTAATGTCTGTATATGTTTATTGTGCCTGGAAGCCCGAGTAAAACAATGAGAAACAACAGACAGGGAATACTACGCTCATAACTGATATATCTTAGAAAACTTTGGAATCCTTGTGACACAAATCCTTCGTTCCACGCCATGTTCGTAACAGTTCGCGTGAGTTTGAATCGAAGGCCTTGTTCCTCTGTTTGCTTTGGGCAGAGAATGTCATGTTGATAAGACGAGGAAGGAAATAAAGGGCATTTGGTGATAAAAATATTAAGATAGAATAAGGAACGGTTGCCCACTGCATGCCAAATGAACATACAATCACGGACTTATGTCTGTCCGTTAATCAGCCTTTGCGTGTATTTCTTATTCGAAATTACTCGATTGTTTTCACTTCATTTTATATTGGGGGTTGAGCTAAAGTTGTCAGCGAACTTCATTTTTCTCTGAGTTACTACTACTGCTACTGCGGAGACGTGATAGCTCAGTCGATATAGTGATGGGCTACCGGATAGACGGCCGGGGTTCGATTTCCAGCAAGGTGAGAGATTTTCTCTTCAGTACATCATTATAACTGGCTCCGGACACCACACAGCCTGCGGTACAGTCAGTACCGCTCACCTCCATTTAATGGCAATTTCAAAGTGGTAGAGCTATACATCCACACCCACATACTTCATGGCGCAGTACTTTATTGATTAAGCAAGAGAAAATTTTTACATATTTTACTACACTACTACTACTCTACTACACGACTACTACTCTACTACTACTACTACTACTACTAGTAGTAGTAGTAGTAGTAGTTAATAATGATAGTAGTTGTAGCAGCGGCAGTAATAGTAGTAGCAGCAGTAGTAGTAGTAGTAGTAGCAGCAGCAGCAGCAGCAGCAGTAGTAGTAGTAGTAGTAGTAGTAGTAGTAGTAGTAGTTCTATCACGGTGGCTGCGCGGTCTAAGGCATGAGCTGTCTTCGCCCGCTCGAGCACTGGGGTCATGGGTTCGAAACCCACTCGAAGCATGATTGTCTATGTGCGTTTATTCTGTGTTTGTGTTATTCTGTGTGTAGGTAGCGGTCTTGCAACGGGCTGATCACTCGCCCAAAGAGTCCTACCGTCTTTGTAAAAATGATTACGAAAGTGAAAAAGCGGCCAGGGCCCAACAAAGGCCTGTAGAGCCATGGTGAGTCATTAGTAGCAGAAGCAGTACTCTTGCTGATGATGGTATTTGGGAAGTCATTTCTGTATCCTCCTCCCACCCCCTCTACCCTTCCCCTCTCTCAGTTCCACGCATTTCCTGTGCCGTGTTTTTCCAAGTAAACTTCCTCCTACGCATCTCATGGATTTCGCCCGGGAATTCCATTTGATTACAGCCCTTCGCAGAGCCACAGCCTTCCACTCTGCTTCCCCCTCCCTCCATAATTTCTTCCGTTTACCTTTATTTATATATATTTTTCTTAGTTTATTTTTATGTATATTTTTCTCTTCTATCCCCATTCGTTCCGCGGCGTGTAAGGGTGACAACTTCACCGCCATCTATGAGCCGATTGTCTAGAAAATGTGGGAGCCACGACGTCTCACAAATTTAAGGGTCTCCACGGCCTGTTACGGGGATAGCTTTGCATTTCTGTTAACCCCTATTCGTTCCTCCTGTGTTTCATCATTTCCTCCCTCCCTCATTATCGGCCTTTACAAAATGGCCTTCTTCAAGGCCATTAGATCATCTTGGTTCGCACATAGCTCCGACTCTGATTTTCCCTTCCGTGTGTCTGTACTACTAATTTCGCCCCGCGAAAATCCCCCGAAATCAAATTATACGGCTTCACATCCTAGAAAATCTTAATTTTACAATCTGAGATGTGGAAAGTGTCGTTAAACACATCATACGACCAAAAATTTAAGTCTCCAAGGAGATTGGAAAGCCGGGGGATATGCTGACGTAAGCAAAGTAAGTAAAGCTATCCCTGTAACAGGCCGTGGAGGCCCATACGGTTGTGAGACGTCGAGGTTCCCACATTTTCTAGACAATCGGCTCAGCCTTACGCGCCGGCCACCCTTTACCCCGAAGAATATTCCTGGTACTCACTTCTGTTAGAGGCTGAGTCGACCTCAGGGCCATAGTGCGGCTGGAAGGATTAGGTAAATTTAAAAAAATCCACTGACCTTATCGGGACTCGATCCCGCGACCTTCCGGCTTGTAGCACAGCGCCTCAACCAACTACACTACCGCGTGCCCCGCTGGCATGAGATTAGAATTGGAAAACTTGTATTTAACCGCCTCCGGGTCGTGTGCGACTTCAGGCTTCAGGGTGAAGTAACACTGTGGAAACTTTGCGTTCTGGCAGCATGCCCTTGCAGCGACCAGCATATCGATTATAAAATACAGGCTCCGATGAACTGTGACAGCGACGAGTCACTACCTTATCAACCTATCATTGCCAGTCTGACTGCAAGCATCGTAGCTGAGTTATGTGATGTCTGATAACACGGCATGTTGCAACGTCAAGTGTCACGTTTCCAGGTTTCATGCCAGTTTTCCAGTGATACGTACGTGTAGCAACAGTATTTCCGTGTTGTCTGTTCTCTCTTCACGTGTGGCAATGCTGCACTTCTTCTTCTTCTTCTTCTCCTCCCTTTCTCCTCCTTCTTCTTCATCATCATCATCTTCATCTTCTTCTTCTCCCTTTCGCCTCCTTCTTCTTCTTCATCATCATCATCTTCATCTTCTTCTTCTCCCCCCCCTCCTCCTCCTTCTTCTTCTTCTTCTCCCTTTCTCCTCCAAGATCTTTATGGAAACGTACTTGATCATCTTCTTCTCCCCTCCTCCTACTTCTTCTTCTTCTTCTTCTTCTTCTTCTTCTTCTTCTATTTCTGTTGCTCCAACTTGAAGCATCGGGCATCCGCGAAACGCCTCGTTTCACTTCAGTTTCTTAATCTAAGACAGTAGGTGGACGGGGGGTCAGCCCGTAGAAAGGCCGCTACCTAACACAAACACAGAATAAACACAGATCCATGCCTTGAGTGGGATTCGAACCCACAAACCCAGTGTTTGAGCGGGAGAAAAGACATTCATGCCTTAGATCGGCCAATGTTGCACTGGATCATTGCATTTTGATGAAATTTCGTGCTTCAAATTTGTACTCAAATCCGTCAGGAGTTTTCCAGCTGGTGATCTCAGTGGTCACGCTTTCGACTCGTACTTGCAAGTTACTCGTTTCGAATCTCGGCCGGGATATCGGAGATTCTGAATCAAGTTATCGTGGTATTCCTCAGTCCCCAGAGGCAAATTCCAGGATAGAACCTGGACAGGCCACTACTGGTTGCTTTCAAATTATTTCCAGTTCTTTATCTACTCATCATCCCATCATTCTACGTGTATAACCCAGCTACTGAGTGCGTCTTTAGATAACCCACAAACCGACCGTTTCTCAAACCAAATCAAATAACATGGACTGTCTCTTTTGTCGGATGTTTTTCCACACATTATCAAGTGTCGAATAATCGTGCTTACTCATGGAGCTGAGCCCTTCTGGAGGAGCGGCCAATTCTGCAGCTACTCAATTTCCCAGCATTTATGGAACCCGAAGGTTCATTACCGTGTTCAAAAGAGCCCCCCAATGGTCCCTATCCTGAGCCAGACAAATCCAATCCATACCATCCCAAACTGTCTCTTTAAGATCCATTTTAATATTGTCCACCCACCTACGCCTTGATCTTCCCAATGGTCTCTTTCCCCCTGGCTTTCCAACCAATATCCTATATGCATTCATATTTTCCCCCCCCGAATAATCGTAACTGAAATTATTGAT